TAAATTTAATTTCTTTATGATTACCAATCATTCATACAATTACTATTAATACTTATTGGTCATACAATATTAATATTCTTTTCTCTAAACTAACATCTCTAATGGTTATGCAAGATATTAATTCAAGAAGACATAAAGTACCCATGAACTTGTTAATTTAATAACGATTAGAAGAGAAAGATTAGTTTGGTTCACTTAATCCTTTATCTTATTTTATCCTATAAATTCATTAACTAATCGAGGTATGGTTGTCTAATGATATAATTAATTAAGATTATACAACTATACGCAATAGAATAAAAACAAATCACGAATAGAAACCAAATTTAGATTCAAACATTAAAATTCCATAAATTCATAAACAAGTATTCCAATAGCCCTAACTATAGACTTAGCTATTCATGATAAAGAGAAAAATTAAAACAATCATAAACAAAGCCATAGAAAAAAGCAAACTAGAATGAGATGAGTTCCCGGTCTTTAAGTAAAGTCGCTCAAAACTTCAAGTCCTGCCAAGAGTATGCCAAAGATCTCGTGCAAGAGAGAGACTAGATGAAAGGTGTATCGAAGAGAAAAAGACAAGATGTTCAATTCGGTGCCCGATATCTCTTTTTCATATGGTTTGAAAACCCTAAAAGTTCTTTGTAATTGGATATTTCGCATATGTGCACAGTCGTGCAAGGTCATAAACACGACCTTGCATAGGCTCGAAGTACCCTCATGCTTGTTGAAAGGGTCTGGACGTGCTGACTGCTGCAAAGGTCTAATCTTCCATTAATTTGGGCCCAAAACGCACCCAAAATCTATTTATTACCTCTTTATACTAAACTGCACAATTAACATATAAATTATTATAAAATTCAAATAAAATAAAGGTCAAACATGAATATATAGACTGTAAAAGAGGGTCTAAATACAAACTTATCAAATTTTTTCTTATGATTACTTGTATAGTCCTTAATTCAATCTCATTCAATTGTGTTAGAGCAATTATCAACCATCTAATCAGTTATTGCCATTGTCAAATGATCATGCAGTAATGGTAGTCTTCTTATCTATATATCACCCTAATAATCATAGACAACAATAAATAAATAAGAGCATTAAGATACATTAGATTGGTTAGACTGATATTCTTAACTCCTAAATCCAAATTACCTCTTAATTTCATTAACCTATTAATGAAAATCACCTATTAATTGGTCAACTAGGATTAACCCTTGAATGATCAATTCAAGAATATAAATGACAATAAAGAAAATTTCAATTAGCATATAACAACAACAACATAAAATCAAACTAAGGTTCAAAATGAGTTACATCACAAGAATTCACCTCAATTCTATGACAAGAAATATTTTATTACACATAGTCGTAAAGATGAAAACAAGGTAATTAAACACAAAATATTTATAATAACAAGCAATAAGGGAAGAGAAAACTCTAGTGAATGGAAGCATAAATTTGTGATGAGGAGACAGAGGGGAAGCTTAGGATGGAAGATGTAGTCTTTTATTATGTAAAGAGAGGGATAGGTCAAATGTGTCTTTACCAAAGAAAGTGGCTCAGAAACCAGAAATGGGAAGTGACCAAGTAGTGCTTAGAACTCTCAAATAGGAAAAGAGAAAACTAAAGTTTGAAACACTTAATAAAGGATGAGAATTTGCTTATTCAACTTGATGCCAAAATGAGGAATACAATGTGGTATTTATAGTATTACAAGGATACTTCTAGAACATAGATTATTTTATAGTAGATATTAGACAGGATATTTCTAGACTTGGGATGTTTCTAGAGAAAGGATAAATCTAGAGTAAGGATATTTCTAGACTATAGATATTTCTAGATAGTGTAATTATAGATTATCCTAAATATAGGTTGAGAGAAAGTGAGATCCTTTTTATAGAATATAAACTAATTTTTTTATAGTTAGCATTATAGGCTTGAGCAAAGGGCATGCACCAATTGAGCATGCCCTTGACAGAGAACATCATCCTGTGAGCACAAGATGTGCTCCTCACAAGCATCCTTTGGTCAGAGACTTCAGTATTTCAGGGCATGCTCCTCCTAACCATGCTCTTGACAGAGGTGTTGCAAATCCGGTACAAGGCATACTCGTTTGGAATCCAGCATAGAGCGTGTTGATGTTGAGCACACCCTCTCCAAAAGATCCATCAACAAGGGGCCTGTTATGCCAGCAAATGATGTGTTGGATGCATTCTTAGAATACATTGGCATTCTTGTGAATGTGAACTTGTTTTAAAAGCATTTCCACCCAGTTCCTACAAATTGATAGCATAATATGAGTACATAGCAATACCGTAGTTGTGTGATCCGTTGTTTCTTCACGTAACTTGCATAAGGCAGAATTTCACATATTAAAAATAGCATGAAATCCATTTCTTCAATTCAATTTGTAGTTCAAATAGGAGTGAAATTGGAAAGTGGTAACTGAACCCAAGTCCTCGAGGGAACAATATATACTCGATTCATTCTATATTACTCAAAACTAACTGTGCACTTGTCGAATTTACACATCAATTACGTAAAGACTAAAAGTTTTGATCAAGTAAACAAAATATCTTCTAAAATGTTAAGAAGAAAAAAGCACACCTTTGTTTTTTTGAACTTTAGCACTTTGCGATTATGTCTATGGTTTGATTTCAAGCCTCTTGGATGAAGCTCAATCGGCCAATCACCGTACTGGAGAAGCCTAAAGAAAGGACATCATAAAGATGATGCTGTGGACACAAACTTAAGATATTTGTGTAATTTCTCGTTCTGCAAGCAAAGTAACAAAACTCTCAACATGTTGATTTGTGAATCAAACAAAGTTTGCAAATTATTTTATTAATTAATTCATTATTTGATGATATAGCAAAGTTACCTTTTCACTTTAATTTGAAGTTCTCTGAGCTTGGATTAGTATAAATCCAACTTCTTCAGGGACAGGACAGACAAATCAACTTTAATTAGGGTTCAACTCCTTCTACAGGATATGTGACCTTATACCTGAATACACATTTTACCCTTTCCTTCTTTTGTTGCCACAACTCTTCTATTGGCACTACTTCTACAAGCTGTTCCATATTAGTGCCAGAAGCCTTTTCATGCTATAACGAAACACAAATTACAGAGGAAATTAGTTTTCCTGTTCAATTTTGACTAGATCATTGAGTAAGTTTTGCAGTTGGGTTATTGCCAACATAAGGACATATTTGATTAGTTGCTAAAATTTATTGTTGCCAATTCTACAATCATTATTTTAGAAGATATAGTTTGAACATATGTGATGTTTATTATATATAAATTGAAGCACGCTTTACAATTAAAAAGTTTTAATCAATTTATTTACCTAGTTCTCTTTGTTTGAGGACTGAAATATCAATTTGAAGCAGAAAAGTATATTGGCATTCATGTGAAGGCGAACTTGGTTTAAAAGCATTGCCGCCCAGTTCCTACTAATTCCAAGCACTTTTTTAGTATAGAGCAAAACAATAGTGAGATTGTTGATAATATAATGACCCATTCTTAATTCTTTTTATTGCTGATAAAAACACTTTTACCACTGAATTCAAGTGGGTGATGAAGAGTAAAATAGACAGTAAACAATTCTAGAAAAAGATAGGCAAAGCAGATTTGATTATAGGAATCACATAAACACTAATCAGTAAACAGTAAAAGTTTTGATCTAGTAAACAAAAAAATTTACCAAGAATATGGGTCTGCAGTGATTAGGAAGAAAAATAAAAGATCTTATATTTTTGAAATTGGTGCTTTGTGATTTCTATCTCCTTAAGTGACGATAATGCGTCTTTCATCTGCGCCCATAATTGATACGCGGGGCACATGCTGGATGGCTGGGTGCTCTGGTCCTTCAATTGGAGCAAGGTTGTCCTCAAATTCATGTGACATTCCTGTTAAATAGAGAGCTTCAAGTTCCTTTAAGTGTTGAATGCCTGAGGGTACCACCTCAAGTTTGGGGATGTACCCTAAACAGAGGGTTTTGAGAGCACGTAACGCTCCTTCTTCGATACAAATGGAATTCAAGTTTTCTAGTCTGAAAAGATCAAGTTGCTTGAGTCTTTGAAACCCTCCATCTTCAAAATGCAAGCTTACACCATTATATGACATATGCACAAGGCGTGACAAAATTGGCAAATCTTTCAGTGATTTCATTGGATCATGAGTTAAACAAGGGCTTGTCAAGATCAATTCTACAAGGTTTCGAAGCTTGGGAATCCACTTTGGCAACTTCTCAAACATAAACATTAGGTGAAACTTTCGAAGCATAGAAGGAGATGAATCAAACTGCGAACCAAGCACGTTGATAAAATACGTAGGCTTTCCAAGTGTTGCATTTTACTTATTGAGGAACTTAGAGCACTTCCTTGTTCTTCCCTGACATCAAACAAGCTCAACTTCCTCAATTGTGTTAGCCTTCCCAGCTCTCTAATTAGCTCTACCCCATCTTCACCTATGGCCACATTACTTAACGTTGTAATGAAGTCATGCCTCCAAGACCATCCTTCAATTGAGACAAAGGTATGTTATCCCCCCGAAGATGTCGTACCTTTCTAAGCTTTCTAACCTCCTTTGGCATCATTTTCAAAAGTGATCCCCTTAGATCCAAGGTCTCTAAGTTCTGCAGCTTAGCAATGGAATTTGGAAGGCTTACTATAAATGTTCTCCTAAAGCTTAAATACCTCAAGTGGATTAAATTTCCTAAATTTTCAGGAACATAATTTAATTGAGAACCTTCAAAATCAAGTACCTTCAATAACATGTACTTGTCAGGTATTCCCCTCACAAAGTGCTCAGGTAATTCTTTAGGTGTGAAGACAAAAAGTGACCTAATGTGTGAGCTTTCACTAGTACTCATTTCGTCATTGGAATTATTTCTAACATATAGCCTCTAGTTATTCCCCTTAACACTGACTTATCATTTGCGCTATGACAAAAACTCAAATCCTCAATTTTTTTAAGAATCATCTCATGTATTAGGTCATGAACACGATAGGCTCTAACTTTCCCATATGTCGTGTAAGTGAAGATGCTTGCACCAAACTTCTATCGATCAACTCTTCTAAATATCCCTCTGCAACTTCCTCTAAAGATTTTTCCTCTTCATATTTCACAATCCCTTCAGCTATCCATTGTCGAATTAGTCTTTTAGATTTAATTTCACGGTCTTCAGGATATATGCCAAAGTATAAAAAGCATGACTTAAGAAGGTAAGGCAAATCATTATAACTGAAACCCAAAATTTTTTTTATACTATCTATTTGTTGATTCTTCTTCAGCTCTCGATAAAACTTTTCCCATTCATCAACTCTTGTCGTATCTTTCCTAGATAAAAGACTACCAATAACCACTAATGCAAGTGGCAAACCATTGCATTTTTTAACAATCTTTGAGGAAATGTCCTTCAGTTTTTCTGTGCAGGATCCATCAAATTCAAATTGAAATGCCTTCTTGCAGAAGAGTACCCAAGATTGTTCAGGAGGTAGGGATTTCAGTTCATGTATTTTAAGAAAAGAAGATTTCTTGCAGGAATCTGCAACTTTCTTGTGCCTAGTTGTGATAACTATCCTACTTCCATTTCTACTATCAAGTGCAGCAAAGTCAATCTCATCCCAAAAATTTTCATCCCAAACGTCATCAAAAAAGACTACCAATAACTACATTGACTTCATCTATCAATGTATCACCTCGCATTTTTGAAATATTCTGTGGAGGTTCCATCTTTCTTTCCTTGTAAAACTTCTGCAACATGTCCCTCAACAAGTCATCTACATTATAGGACTGAGACACTGTGATCCATGCATGGCAATCAAAGTGTTCAATCACCTTCTGGTTGTCAAAAACATTCTTGGCAAGAGTGGTCTTTCCTTGCCCTCCCATTCCTACCACAGAGATGACTATGCGCTCTGTTCTTCCCCTTATCAACCAACAGACCAATTCATCTCTTGGTTCTTCAAAGCCCACAATTTGTGCTTCATCCATGTAAAGGGGAGCCCTGCGAATCTTCTCCAAAGTGGTGTATTGGTTTCCTCTAGAAGTGCTTGGTCCTTGTTCCATAAAAGGTTGAATTTTGAAGTCACTCTTTCTTTCACGTATTTCATTGATTGCACGAACTCGTGATTTGACATTCTGAACCTTATATGCTATTTGCAGACGAAGGATCATGGTTTTGATGAAGTCAGCAGGCTCACATGGTAAAGCTGTTGGGTTAAACTCCCAACTATGTGTCCAAAAGTCCAAATTTTAAGCACAATTTTTCACATAATTGAGGGGAGTGAGAAGTCAGAAGAGTGGGTGAGAGAAGTCAAAATTGAAAGGTTTTTTGTTGCATCCGGTGCATGGTGTATTTTGCAGAGAGAGACATCAAAAGAGAGAAGGGAAGTGAGGGAAGAAAGAAGCTCCAGACCAGCTACTCCATTTCTCTGATATCTGATTAGTTCACCTTTTCTTTGATGTCATCGTGTGTGGTGTCATCATCTCCATCTGCGGCAATTCTAACTGCTTGATGAATGATGACTTGATTCCTTTTTAGTTCTTTTTTCATGTTTTCAACGTCTTTTGGGACACCCTTGATGATATCGGTTACTTCCTTTACGAATGGAAGCAAATGATCACGAGCGAAGGAGAATCGAGTCTTTGTGGTGAGATGAGATATAACATTTATCTTCTTCAATATTTATATAGCTTAGAAGTCCACAATGAGGGAAAGGCTTTGACTTTCCCATGGTGATTGTTTAATAATTATTAAGCAAGTTGGATTTAGCTAATGTATATATAATTGTGGGTGAACATGTTCATTCTTCTATTGTTTAATCCATGCATTTAATTGTTACTTGAAGCAATAGAAGATGATCGTGATTGTTCATTCCTTTCACTTGTTCATTTATGCATGGGAGTTTGACTAACTCAGACATGATGCATGCTAATTGCAGAGACTAGTGGGAGCATGTGACCTCTGCCATCATGCTTATTATTAAGATGAAAACAATTTTAATTAATATTTGAACATGTAGTAATTTATGAATTTGAGGCATTGTCAAACTTTAATACATGGTTGTTTGGCTTAATCACAGACATGATCCGCGGTATTTGCAAAGTATTATTATTGAGTAGTTGAAATTATTATTCAGATTCTTAAGATACACTCACAAGTCCAAAGTCAAAAAAATGAGAAAAATTAGTAACTTATTTCTAGGATGAAAATAGGTGTTTAGTTAAGCCTACCGCCTAACATTTTTAAGAACTAGTCTGGCTTAGCCTATTTAAGTAATAAGCTTAACTTAAACTTTTTAAATAGTTTAATTAATTAAATAAGTTATTTAAGTAATAAGCTTAACTTAAACTTTTTAAAAAGTTTAATTAATTAAATAGGTCAGACTTAAATTTAAAAAAAAAGTCTATTAAACCTATTTAAAATTTATAAAATTGTTAATAATATATTAAACAAGTTTATGTCATTATTATAATATAATATTATATTAAATAAATTAAATTTTATATTTCAAACTCTAATCATTTTTATTATAGTTAAAAAGTGTTCTTACTACGTATATATACCTTCTACGAGAGAGAGTCTTGTTTGTTGAAGTTATAATACTTATTTGTATTTGGTGATTAAAAAAGTTAATAGGCCAAATCAAACTTTTAAAAAGATTATACTAGACTTAATAAAACTTATGACAAATAATTGGTAAGACTTAAGCTTTAAAATTATTAAATAAATCATGTCTATTTATGCAAAGTTTAGTCTAACCTATTTTCATTTTTATATATTTCCAAAGTCACTCTTAATTTTTTATTAGAATTTATTTAAAATTAAAAAAATTATATAAAGTATACTCTTAGTTGAATGATTTTCACTCCTCTTTTAATGACAATTTTTATATAATAGGAAAACCATTAATCATTGGAACAAAATCATCAAATATTTCATTTTTTTATTGGACAAAATTTAGGTGCAGCTATTAAAGTGGTGCAATTTACCAATAGAGTTTTTTTTTTTTTTTTTTTATAAGCACAAGAGTTTCATTAATTAAGCACTAGGGGTGCTTAACCCAAATTTACAAGTATTAAGTACCATATATTAAGTCTCACAAATCAACCAAAAAATAAACAATCTTTCCTTGACCTAACCTTCTCCTATATAATAAGAAGGAAAATATGCTCTGAAGTAATAGCTCCCTGTTATCATGCAGGAAAGAGCAATTCCATGGTAAGGACGGGTTCAAAGCATCAAGCAAAGAATGAGAAGTAGACTATTTTAGCATGAGCTGTAAGAGCTTGCCATGTCTTCAATTTAATCCTCTCCATTACTTTCAGGGCATCCAATTCACAATTAGAAAAAATAATTTCATTTCTATGCTTCCAAATACACCACAATGTCAAGCTCCAAATAACCAAAGTTAGTTTCCACCATTTCTTACTTGGCAGCAGCTCAGAAAAACCAATATCGTTATGTACTAAGGAAGAATATGAGCATATTGAACGATTCAACCAAGCTGGAATGCCCTCCCAAATGGACTTTACAAAACTACAATCTATGAATAAATGTACAGTGTTCTAATAAGATTAGCTTTGGAGGGAAAAGAGTCACGGATCACCTGCCATATAAACACTTGGACTTTATGAGGAACCCAACAGCGCCATACCTTGTTCAAAATTTGAATGCTTAAAATGTTGAAATTTGGTCCTATATCCACATTGCTTTGTATAGTGCAATACCCAGATTTTGTAGAATAACCTTTAATCCTATCACTCATCCAAATCCATCTATCCAAAGTGTTTGGGTGTGGTCGGTAATCTTGCAAAATAATAAAAAGGTTAGTAGCAAATAAGGGACCATGTCGTGCTTTTAGACAAATAATCTTGAAAAGAGAGACTCAAACCTATCCATGTCAAGTCACATCTCACTCCAAAAGCTCATATTCGATCCATCTCCTAATACTTTCTTCACACTATTTACAAACCAGTTGTTTGCAAGGTAACCCAATCCTCAAATGTCCTTCCACCAGGTTGAAGCTTTAGGATTTCTCAATAGAATATTTGGTGTAGCAAACAAGGGACCGTGTCGTGCTTTTAGACAAACAATCTCGGAAAGAGAGACTCAAACCTATCCATGTCAAGTCACATCTCACTCCAAAAGCTCATATTCGATCCATCTCTTAATACTTTCTTCACACCATTTACAAACCAGTTGTTTGCAAGGTAACCCACTCCTCGAATGTCCTTCCACCAGGTTGAAGCTTTAGGATTTCTCAATAGAATATTTGGTGTAGCAAACAAGGAACCATTTACCAATAGAGTTTTATTTTATCAATCTACAATAATATTAAATATAAATATTTTATTAAATAAAACTCTAATTTTAATTAGTAAACAGTACTAGCAATACCTACAAAATAGCACCTAAGTTTTCTTCTTTTCCATTTTTGTTTGCTCTAGTCTGTGAGTATTTAATTTACTTGTTATTTCATATTTTTATCTCTTTCAGTTTAGAGGAGAAAATAAAATACAAGGCTTAAACTAAAGGTCTTGGTAATTCAATAGTATTAATTATTAACACATTTTCTTTAAATCCTTATCTTACACTTTTTTTAGATTAAAAAATACATTCCAGCACATTATCTTTTTAATTCTATTTCCTCGACAAAAGTATTCTTGTTAATAATTTTAATGACGATATTTGTTATGGAATTAAAAAATAAATAAATATTTAATAAGAAGTGCTAATACTAAATAAGAGAATATAAATATCTTTACTTTTTAGTTAATATATTTGTTAATATTAACAAATTTATTCAAGTATATTTCTGCATAGGGAATTTTGTTGGGTAATTGATACGGTTTGTAGTCGGAGGAGCTGACTAGGAGAAGAATATGAAGAAGCATCAGACCCTTGATAGAATGATAATCTTCAATCTCAGAATAATGAACAAAGGTGATGGAATGTTTATTGATTGTTGGTTAATTAAAATAATAAATAAAATATAAGAAAAGTTTAGGCTTACAATTTCGAATACCAACAATATTTAACGTGTATTGAAAATTAACTTCAATAATAAAATGTTTAAATCTATACTCAGAACTCTAAAATATGCATCTCTTAAAAATGAGAACTAGTCCAGACCCAATGACTTGGTGCAGCGCGAGCATGGAGAAAAGTTGAAAGGGGTGATTGTCCCCTTTTTATTCTCTGACTTCAATGACTTCAAATGGAAGGATAAGAAGGCATTCTTGTGAAGGAGAAGATGATTTCAATGCACTTCCTCCTTGTTCAGTTGTTCCTACCAAATCAAAGCACAATATTAGTACTGATAGAGCATCACATCACATCACACTAGTGAGACAATAATGACAAAATAGTTCCCCAAAACATTACTTTATAATATTTTGTTGCTGATTAAACATCTTTACCATTAATTTCTAGTATAAAACATGTTCTGCAAGAAAATGCAGGCAAATTTTGAGAAATAATTTTAAGAATTAGATAAATAGTTAAAGTTTGGCTTAATTTTACTTTTAGTCCTTAGACTTCCAAGGTATGTACAATTTTCATTTCCTTAATGATTGCTCTCGTTTAGTTAGTCTTTTAGTTTTTCAATTGCTCAAGTTAAATCATTTACTTCAAAATGAAAAGAATTATATTCTATATATTTATTTTATATTTTTTATTGAAATATTTTGAATATTTTTTCTTTATTTATTTGAATAAATCAATAGAATATCATATTTCTATTATACTTTTATTAATTATTGGATAAAACTGGGAGAAACAAAATCACAGATAAGTTAAAGTAGTAAAAGCATCAAAAGTGCAATTAATCAGGAGTAAACAAGAATATCATTATGCAATGACTATGGGGAAAAAAAGCATACCTTTTATTCTCACAAGTGGACACCTGATTTCTATCTTCTTCAGTGGTGAAAAGTGTAATATCTGTGGAAGTTGACAATTCTTACAACAGGCACATGCACAATTATGGAGTGACTTCGTCCTCTAATACGAGATATGTTGCTCTCAAATTCAGTTGACATATCTTCCACATGGAGAACTTCAAGTTGCTTCAAGTGTTGGATGCCAGAGGGTACCTCTTCAAGTTTAGGGATAAATTCTAACCAAAGGGATTTGAGAGAATGCAGTGCTCCTTTGTCAATACAGATGGAATTCAAGTTTGGCAAATATATGAGTCTTAGATCTTTCAGTTTCTGAAACCCCCCATCTTGAAAATGCATGCTTACACCTTTATATGAGAAAATATGGAGGTACAACAAATTTGGCAAATTTTTTAATAATTTCATTGGATCATCAATTAACTGGAAGTCTATCAAGCTTAGCTTAACAAGGTTTTGAAGCTTTGGAATCCACTCTGGCAATTTCTTAGACTTGGATAATAGGCTAAGCTTCCGAAGCATAGGTGGGGCTGAATTAAACTGTGAACAAAGGATGTCATCTAGAATTCTTGAATCAATGCGTAGGCTTTCCAAACATTGCATCTTATTTATTGAGGAACAGAGAGCACTTCCCTGTTCTTCCCTAACATCAAACAAGCTCAACTTCCTTAATTGTGTTAGCCTTCCCAGCTCTCTTGTTTGCTCTGCACCATGTTTGTCTATTTTCACTTTACCCAGAGTTTGTAGGGATGTCATGCTTCCAATACCATTCTTCAACTGAATCATAGACAGATAATCGCCTAAAAGATGTTGTAGCTTACTAAGTTTGCAAATCTCCCTTGGAATTTCTTCCACATATGTTCCCCTTAGGTCCAAAGTCTCCAAATTTTGTAGCCTAGCAATGTAATTTGGAAGAATATATATTTGTGTATTCCTGAAGCTTAAATACTTCAAGTGTATTAAATTCCCTAAATTCCCTAAATTCCCCAAGTGTATATACTTTGAGTGGATTAAGTAACTCTCGAAGCCTAAATACTTCAAGTGGTTTAAATTCCACAAACTTTCATGAATTAAAGACCGCTTAACTTCTTCAAAATCAAGTACCTTTAACATGTATTCAGTAGATATTCTACTCATAAAGTGTAAAGGTAATTCATCTGTGAATACAAAAAGTGATCGAATGTGTGGTCGTTCATTACTACTCATTAAATCATTGGAACCAGTTGTTATTGATAAGCGTCGGGCTATCAACAACTCACCATGTACCACATGACAAAACCTCAAATCCTCACATTTTCTAAGAATCATCTCACGTGTTAGGTCATGAACTCGACAACTTCTAACTCTCCCATCAATGCTAAGTGAAGATGATTGCACCAAACTTCTATCAATCAACTCTCTTAAATATCTTTCTGCAACTTTCTCTAAAGTTTTTCCCTCCTCATGTTTTACAAACCCTTCAACCATCCATTGCCGAATTAGTCTTTTGGATTTAATTTCATAGTCTTCAGGATATATTCCAAAATACAAAAGGCACGATTTAAGATGGTATGGCAAATCATGATAACTTAAACCCAAAATATTGGTTATGCTATCTATATGTTGATTCTTCTGCAGCTCATTATAGAAGTTTACCCATTCATCAACTGCAGTCGTATCTTTCATAGATAAAAGACCACCAATGACCACTATTGCAAGTGGTAGACCCTCACATTTTTCAACAATCTTAGAGGATATATCTTTGAGCTCTCTTGGACAGCATTCATTAGACTCAAATTGGAAGGCCTTCTTGCAAAAGAGTTGCCAAGATTTTTCTGGGGACAAGGAGCGCAAGTTATGGATTTCAACAAAAGAAGATTTCTTACAGTATAGAGCAACATTCATGTCTCTTGTTGTGATAAGTATCCTACTTCCATTTTTATTATCAGTTACTGCAAATTCAATTTCATCCCAAAAATGCTCATTCCACACATCATCAAACAAGAGAACATACCTCATTCCATTCAAGAGATTTCTCACTTCACTTATCAACGACCATCGATCCATTGTAGAAATATTCTGAGGAGGATCTTTCTTCTTTTCTTTGCAAATCTTCAGCAGCATGCCCCTCAACAGCCCTTCTGCCATGTAGGATTGAGACACTGTGATCCAAACACGGCAATCGAAGTGTCCAACGACCTCTCGACTGTCAAAAACTTTCTTGGCAAGAGTGGTCTTTCCCAACCCTCCCATTCCTACCACAGAGATCACAGTGCGCTTCGCTCTTCCATTTACCAACCAATGAACCAATTTATCTCTAGGGGCTTCGAAACCCACAATTTCAGCTTCTTCCATGTAAAATGGAGCATGTCGAAGGTTCTGCCATTGGACATTTTGGCATCCTCTAGAACTGCTCGGTCCTTGTTTTCCAGAAGATTGGATTTGGAAGCGATTGTCACTTTTACTGCTTTCCATGATTTCACAAACTTGTGAATTGATGTCCTTAATCTTGTGCGCTATTTGAAGACGAAGGATCATAACTTTGATGAAGTCAACAGGATTACTCAAAGCTGCACATCCAGGATCATTACCAGCCTGTTGTTCCTCAAAGATCATATATTCATCAATGACATCTTCCATACGAAAAGCAACTTCTATCAGCTCCTTCACCCTCCTTTTGATTGTGTCATGCGTCATGTCTTCTTTAGCTGCATCCATCATATCTGCATCATGAATGAAGGCTTGAATCATTTCCAGTTCATCTTTCGTGTCTGCAACTGCTTTTGGAAGGCCCTTGATCATATTGAATGCTTCCTTCAAGAATGGAAACAAATGATCTCGAGTCAAGGACAATGCAGTTTCCGCCATTTGAGTCTAGCTATATATGATTTCTGCTATTGCTATATGGTGAGATGAGATGAAACTTCATGTCCTTGCAACATTTATATAACACAAAGTCCACTCTGAGAAAAAGACATTGAGTTTCTGTGTGGCATTTCTTAATATTTATTGAGCAAGTTGTGTTTAGATCGTGCTTTAAAGAAACCATGCTTGTCATGTTTAATTTTTCAAACAGCTGGAAACATGTGACATATTTCAATATCCTTAATTGTTAATTAAGATAAAATAAATAAATAACATTGTAAATAGAGTAAGTCATGACTTTGAGGCATTTACAAACATTCATGGTAGTTTGGCTTAATCTCAGACACGATCTGCGCTAGCTGTTGAGACAAGCTGGAGCAACAAATATGGATGGTTCTGTTCAATTGTAAATGGGATTGCAACATATATATATACATATTAAAAATAACTATAGTATCGCCGTATCCATACGGTGTTCATTATTCTGGAATCGCGTGTCTGTTTCATACTAGTGCTTCATGCTATAATTTTTTTTAAAGATGAAAAAAGACATGAAATTGAGAGTATTATATAGATTGTTGAATTTATTTAATGGGATGCATTTAAAGACAAACGATGCTTAGGAACAAGAACTATTTGTATGACTAATGATATTTAAACTTATGGACATATTTAAACTCTTCAATTCTAAAGACTTCATTATTATTTCAATTTTACTAGTTTCATGATCCGGATTGGACCCATCACCGGACCAACCCATCACCAACACACAGACTAAGTTGTTTAGAAAATCAACTAAACCTCAAACTTAATTAGAAGTAACATATGAAACATTAAACTTTTCTAAATTCTTAATATAAAAAAATTGTCAAAATTTTGAAAGAGTTTCTTCTGTGTTTCCATCATCCCTGATAAGAATCAAGAAAGGTCCATTGAAGACAAAGACTTAAAGACATTAGAAAGATACAAGAGTAAAAAGAATAAATAAAGACTTAAAAAAGATTGTTACTATCTTATTTAAAAGAGAGCTCAATTTAAAGTTAGAAAAGTTCAAGATAGTTAATTACATATGCTTAGAGGATTTGAATCTAACGAGTTTTATTAGGATTTAATTATTATGTTTAATTTATTTATTTTAATATTAGTCATTACTTATTTTGAATTTTTATTTAGGATAAAATCTTGTTATTTTATTTAGTTTATTTAAATTTAGGCTTGTTGGTACAAGAAGTCCATTAGGGTTTGTATTAGCATTAGTTTACAAGTATTAAGCATATATAAGCTCTTGTAGACACACTTTTAATTAGTTTTGAATACAATTTGAGATTGAACACTCTTGTGAAAGCTGTGACTTTAGATTTTTGAGTGAGTCAATTTTCTTTTATCTTATCAAAAGGTTAAGACTCTTGTGACGATTGTTTCTTGGCTTATCAATCTTACGACTGTGACGCTATTTTTCATCTCTATTCTATTTTTACTTTTTATTAATTTTCTTCTTATTTCAATTTCTATTTGTGCCCTAATAAATTCATTTTTATTGTGTGAAATCCAATTCAAGATTGTTTAATTCAGCGACATGATTTGTGGTTGTCATCAATCCCAAAATATGATAATCTATGAAAATAAATCTATGATTTAACCACAACTAATGGAATTCAAAATTCTCGTAATAATAATATTAAAACATCTATTTCATGACCAATATAATACCTTACTCTTTAACAGTAGCAGAAAGTCCAAAATATAATTAAAGCAAAACAAATATATGCAAATATGCTATTTGATGATCTAAAAATAATGAATAAATAGGGGTGACTCAAATAAACTTAATGAGAACATCATAATCAAGAAAGAAAAACAAATAACGTAAGAGTGGTTCACAGTTATATAACTTACTTATAACAGATAATAACCAAAAGGAAAAGAGGCCATGCGGAAAGATGCTTCTATGATGAACAGCTTCGCTTTTTATTTGATTTCATCACATGTCGTATCATCTCCAACTGCAGCCACTCTATCTGCATCTAAATGATGGCTTGAATCCTTTCTAGTTCCTTTATCATGTCTTCACCATCTTTCGGGATGCCCCTGATCATATTGGCTGCTTCCATAAGAATGGAAGCAAATGATCACGAGCAAAGGAAACTGCAAAATCTGCCATTTTTGTCTTGATCTGATTTCTTCTATATCGTGAGTTGAGAGGAAAAATTTATGTCCAATATTCATATAGCATGAAGTGCACAATGAGATGAAGATTTATCCCTTCGACATTGTTAAATATACGGAGCAGGTTGGATTCAGCCATTGCATACACTTCTGTTGTTTAAGGAGACCATGCTTGTCAATGTTAGTTGTACCCGAAAAACATCATGCGAAGTCCGGAGTTTCCTTTGACATTGGTTAGTATTAATATTTTATTGAACAAGCTGGACTTGTCTAATGTATAATCTTAACTGAAGAAGTTCATTCTTCTATTGTTTAAGATAACCGTTCTTGAAGTATTTACTTGTATAATTATAAAACATCGTCCTTGTTAGGCGTATTTTAATTGTTCATGTTTCCTATTGGCGTTTAAGTGTGAGAGGAAGCCTTTTGAATTTCCAGTGTCTTTCTTGAATATTTATTTCAGCTGAGTTGAGATTTTTCCTTTTTATTTAATTTGTCTAGCTAGAGCAAGTTGTGAAACTGGTTATTTAGCTGATCAGTAAATGTAATTAAACAATGTTAGTTTATTGTTTAAAGAGAACGGACTTGATGCCAGTTAGTGTAGTTAGTTGTAAAAATAAAGCAATAAAATAAAAGACCCTACTCATCAATTAATTTTCTTCGTGTAACACATCATTTTGAATGTTCATTTGGTTCTACATATTTAGTAATAGAGTCATTGTGAGAGGAAGACTTTGAATTTCCTTTTGTAATTGTTTAATTTTTATTGAGCAAATTTTATTTAGCAAGTTTTTTTTATTGTGAATGAACATGTTCATCCTTTCTAAAAGTTAACACTTCACTTTTCCTAAATGTCTAATTAGCAAGTGTTCAGGTTAATCTGAAAATCACTCATCCAAATCATTTCATCAATGAAACATGCCTTTAAGTGCCTGCAGAGAAATGTGGACATCATCCTTGTACAAACGTTGGTTTCCAATGTATAAGGCTTCTTCTACTATTGTTGAATCTTCAAGTTCTGCTTGATCATCATTGTCATCTCCTTGTGCAGCAAAGATGACACTTAACTTCCCCCAGACCTTGCATTTCTGTCTATGAAACTTTTCCCATGGTTCACCACAAAATTTACATAGGTCTTTGGAAATTCTCTCATTCTTCTCTTTTCTATTTGGAGTACCACCCGCTGTCTTGGTCTTTTTCTGTGTATTAGAAGCAGTAGATGTTGCTGATTGAAATTGCTAGAGATTAGTGACAGGAATGTTTCATTGGCTCATATTAGAATAGCTCCAAGCACGAATTTTCACTTTTGAGATTTCTAAATAGGGACTCTTTGTTGTTGTTAATTTTTTCTTCAATTCTTTGTTAGGAATTGAAATTTTTTTAGAATACTTTAAGATTATAATATTTTTTTTTTTTGTTTTACCTGCGACTGTTTGTTTGTTAGGTAAAAGTATGGGTTAATGCTTAATTTGAGAAAAAGTAGTTGACATGGTCAGATTTAGGTAGAAAGAATGTTGCTCCTTATTTTGTGTTGTCTTATTAAACAGCTTTTGTTAAAATCTATTGCAATATATATTCAACAAATGTAATGAAATGATATTACGTATTCTTCCTTCATTTATCTGGATTCATAACATGGTATCAAGAGCTCAGTAGTTCTTGAAGGGCCTATGAGGGAGTAAAAATACCTGTTCAAACTAGAAACAAAAACCTACCAGCAACAAAATGGCTTCTTCTTTACCTCCACTTCCAATATTTGCAGGAGAAAACTAGGACTTGTGGGCTGCAAAAATGAAAACTTATTTGAGAGCTCAAAATCTATGGGAAGTGGTGGAAAATGGAAGCAACTCAGCCCCTTTACCAAACAACCCAACAGTGGCTTAAATAAGGCTTCATGATGAAAATGTGGCAAAGGAAGGCAGAGCACTTGCCATCTTACATGCAACAGTACATGATGATGTTTTTATCAAGATCTTGAATCTTGAGAGAGCAAAAGAGGCTTGGGACAAGATCAAGGAGGAGTTCCAAGGCAGTGAAAGAACTAGGAGGATGAAGGTGTTAAATCTGATAAGAGAATTTGAAGCCATCAAAATGAAGGATTCTAAAACAGTGAAGGGGTTTTCAGATAGACTCTCTAAGGTGGTTACACAAATCAGATTACTAGGCAAAGAGCTTAGTGATCAAAGAGCTGTGGAAAAAGTCCTGGTTTGTCTTCCTGAGAGGTTTGAGTCAAAAATCTCCTCTCTTGAAAAAAAAAATAAGGATTTTTCTCAAATATCACTTGCAGAGCTTGTGAATGCTTTGCAAGCTACTGAACAAAGAAGGTTGTTGAGAATGGAAGAAAATGCTGAAGGTGCTTTTGTGGTTAACACCAAAGGCAAAGCTCAAGGCAGCAATAACTTTGCGAAAAAACCTTTTGGTGGAAAGAAAGGCAAAGGGAAAAAGGAAGAAGATAGTAACAAAGGAGGAGCTTGGAAGGAAAAATATTCACCGTGCCCTCATTGTAAGAAGAAAAATCATACAGAAAATTTTTGTTGGTTCAGACCTCAAGTCAAATGTAGGGCTTGCAACCAACTTGGTCATGTGGAGAAGGTTTGCAAAAACAAAGCAAAGCTGCAAGGACAGTAAGCTCAAGTTGTTGAGCATCAAGAACAGATTGAGGAGCAGTTATTCGTTGCTTCTTGTTATTCGGCAAGTAGTAGCAAAAAAACTTGGCTCATAGATAGCGGATGCACAAACCATATGACTCATAATGCTAGCATTTTCAAGGAACTTGATCACTCCTACTTCTCCAAAGTCACCATTGGCAATGGAGAATGTGTTTATGTCAAAGGAAA